CCTCCGGTAGCACTGTGAAGTGTCCTGCTTCTCCAGGGTGCTTTGAGAGCTTGTATCGTGGAACAGAAGTGGACTTGATAATAACTGCTAGCACTACCTTTTTATAAATGAACTGTTTTTGACCCTGTTTCTTTTGGGAAGCCCTCTGTATTCTTGGAAGCTTTACCAGCTATTTCACTGGTATTTTGTAATATAAATGTTTGGATAATTTTATCCATTTTATTGATTATGTATTATGAAAGTTTCTCTCTGGACTATATTAGTCAAATGGGCTATACTGTATGCAGAGTTGGTGTGCACAGGAGAATATTTTTCTGTGTGGGATAGTGTAATAAACAGAATTCTAGAACTTTCTGGACTCTTCTCACATACAGCTGTAGATCCGAGCCCTGGCTAAAGCTTTGGTCCCCATATGTCTTTTTCTGCTGTCCCCTGTAGGAGTTTGTCGCTGGAGCAAGCACAGTATCCATGAACCTGCCTTCCCAAGCAGTAAAAATAGGGGACAGAGGGAAGTTTTAAAGGTGAAAGAGCTCTGGGGGAGAGGCGCTTTACTGGGCACCCTTAAAATGCAGAAGAGCTGCCTCTTCTAAAACAACTAGACTAGGCCTGATTTATGATCTACACACCCATGTATATACATGTTTACAGTGCAGAAAAGGCTTTTCTCAGAGAAGCTTTTACTCTGTTTTCTGCACTTTCGTAGTGTTGAGGAAAGAGGAAGCTGAGCAGTTGTTCCCTGCCAGCTCATGCAGTGCCTCGTATTGGCACTGGGTGACACAGTGCGCCGCGTTCCCGAGTCCTGCTAAGTTATTCCATGTGAACTGCAGCATCCAAGGACAAGGTGAGGCGATGTCCAGCAGACTTGGAACGATGCTTCACTGTGAACAAGTCCAGACAGTCATTTTTACGCCCTTGAATGTGAGCCTGAACAAACTGCTCAGCCTTCCTGTGCCAAACTATAGCCAAGGCAGAATTTCGGCCAGGAATTTCCTGAAGGACAGCACAYGAGGACCGTGCCAGGACCCATGTGCTCCCTATCTTGACTGGAACTAAACTAAAACGAAATAAAATCCCTGGGATGATTTTGCAGCAGATTTTCCCGGGCACGTTTTGTCTTGTACTGTGCTGTTGACTGGTAAAGATGAGAAGAATCAGAATAAGAATCGACCAACTGCAAAACCCAGGGTCCTCATGCAGTGTAAGTACAGCAAGGAATGTAGGGGTCTGCGCAGTCATTTTTGTAGGGAAAGTATCTGAAACATGCCCTCTTACACTGGCCCACGTGCTTGTGATCCCGTGTTCTAGGCTTTTCCGTGGTTTAAGGGTGCTACTCTGTGACCTACGGTGCTCCAGAACCTTCCTGAAAAGGTAGAAGGGAAATGTCGTGGCTATTATTATTAACTACAACATAAAATAAAAAACTAACCTTATGGGGCAAGAAAACTGCTCCACAGAAAGCGTTAACCTTCCGTGTGGATAGAAAAGAAAAAAGGGGGGGAAGAGCAGAAAAGAGGGGAAAAAAAAAAAAAAAAAAAAATGGAGATGCCGGGGATTGAACCCGGGGCCTCATACATGCAAAGCATGCGCTCTACCACTGAGCTACATCCCCTGGCTGTGAAAGATTTTCCCGCCAGGCGCAGATAGCGCCGGGGCGCCCCCCCCCCCCGCCGCAGAGCAGGCAGCCGCTCCTGCCATGGGGCTGCGGGCGCTGGGCCGGGACCGACGCCGCTTCCCTCCCTTTTCCCTCCTTTTTCTCTCCTTTTCTCCGCGCTTCCCGCTCCAGGGCCCCGCGCGGTTGTGGCGGCGCCGGGCGAAAGGCCCGCATGCGCCAATCCTCGTTAGTATAGTGGTGAGTATCCCCGCCTGTCACGCGGGAGACCGGGGTTCGATTCCCCGACGGGGAGGTCATAGTTTTGCTCCCCGCAGCCATTTTCTCCTCTCCGAGCCGTGGCGTTTTGCCCGTTTTCGTCCGTTTTGTGCCGGCCTTTCCGCCTATCACCGAGGCCTGCACAAAACCGCGGGGCTCGCTATGGGGGGAATAAAAGCGAGAAGTGGAGCGTGTGCTGAGGAATTAGTGTTCCCTGGCCTGCGAACCCTTTAGGAGACACACGATACCCCAGAGCGTTCCTGTGCGTGCATCGGGGGACGAACCGACTCCTCCCCGGTGTCCCCGGGGATCTTCCAGCAAGGCTGGACGCTGGAATGCTGCAGAACTGTGTGTTTTGCACTGACGGAAAGATGATAAAGTTGAGCAAATGTCTCTGGAGGTTTTTCCTGCAGCAGGTAASGGACAGACCCAACCTCATCCGGGGGGGAGTGCCCGTCGTGCGGGCCGTGGTAGCGGGGGCCAAAAAAAACCCTCCATGGGTGCCGAAATAGCTCAGTTGGGAGAGCGTTAGACTGAAGATCTAAAGGTCCCTGGTTCGATCCCGGGTTTCGGCAGTGGGTGCCTTATTTTCTTCTTTCCTATGGGCTCTGATTTTTAGATTCCCACACGAGCAGAGATCCCAAACGATCCCACGGCGACGCTGTGGTTGGCGCTTCCCGGCGGGAYGGCCCACCGATCCCGTGATCCGCGCGGCGCTGCTAGGGGGCGGTCACGGCCAAACGCTGTTATCGGTCCGTCCTCGTTAGTATAGTGGTGAGTATCCCCGCCTGTCACGCGGGAGACCGGGGTTCGATTCCCCGACGGGGAGGATAATTAGTTTTCTTCCTCCTTTTATTTATTTTTATTTTTTTTTTTTTTTTTCCCTCTCACCCATTTTGGTTGCTGTGGCCAAAACCTCTAACTTAAGAAGGGAAAAAATGCTGTGGTTTGGCTACAGGAAGGCCCCTGTACGTCTGAGGGTACCTGAGGTTCCAACACAGCTCTGCACGCTGCAGGGCTCTGCTCCTCCGGCACTTGCAGCGGGATCCAGGCCCCAGGAGCCACCCGGCTGCCCATGTCCTCCCAACGTGTTGCAGAGGGTTTCTACGAGTATCTCCGCCCTTCCCTTTCCTTGCCTCCTCTTGCTGCTGGTATTGTACACAAGGCATAGCTTCAGCTCCCTGTTGTTCCAGGGCAGGAGCTCCGCTTCCCTGCGCCTCTTGCCCCGTACCCCGCATGGGCGCCATAAAATCCCACCCCACAAACTGGCCAAGGCGGCAGGTTTCCCTCAGAGAAGACCCAGCCTTTGTGGCCACCCGTTGCCCGCAGCCCTCCGCGCCGGCCCAGCGGCGGGACAGCGGGGAGCAGGAAGGCGGCGGCAGCAAAGGGAGCGCTGCAGGCGAGCACGGGAGGAGGAGCGGATCCCCAGRGCCGCCCCCCATCCCCGGCCGCCCGCGGGCCCCTCGGCAGGTCCCTCATGGCCCCATGGCGRCGCCTCACGTAGCACCGGGCGGAARCYCAAATGCGGGCAGGGGGATGTAGCTCAGCGGTAGAGCGCATGCTTTGCATGTATGAGGTCCCGGGTTCAATCCCCGGCATCTCCACGGGGGCTTCCATTTTGCCCCCCGCRAAGGGAGCCGCCGCTGTTGACCCGGCTGGGCCTGAAGCGGCAGGCAGGACTGCTGCCGAGAAGGACTGCTCGAGAAGATGGCGCGGGAGGAAAACAGAGCTGCGGCCGRGCTCGCTGGCAGCTCCTCCGCGCTCAGGGGACATCCGCGCGCCAGCAGCCAGCCATAGATATGGAATCTATCAAATGAGGGCCCAGCGCCTGTTTTGCAGTCCGCACGTTGCAAGAGGTGCCACTTTTGGGGTGCAGGGCTTCAGAGTTTGGTTAGGGAATAACACATGAGGTACAAATGCAGGGAGGGAGCCGGCGCAGGCTGCCCCTCCTAGACAGGACGGYGCTGCATCGCCCGTAGTGACTCACAGCACAGAACTCCATCTTGTGAGGTGAGGGCGCCTGCCCTCCGCCTTCTGCGGATGTTTGCAGCCCTGAATGCACGCCCTGTAACTAACTGAATAAGCTCAGTGTTGTTCACTCTCACACCAGATGAAAGGCCTCCTAAACCTGAAAGTCTTTCCAAACCCTTCCTGTTTACCTAACTCCAGATGTACACAGCACAACACACTGAGTGCAAGTCCTACCTCAGGTTGCGCAGAAACCCAGCCCTTTGGGGATCATTTTTCAGCTAAATGGCTGAAGCCATTGGATGTTTGAGGGTTTATTATTATTATTATTATTGTAATATTTGGTTCTAATATGAATGCAAAGAGGCCCGCAATGTCCCCAATGCCTTCTCCTCCTCTAAACTCTGTGGGATGTTCRTGTCCAGCTCTCAAACTTCCTTTCTCTTTCACTTCATCTTTCTGTCTTCATTTTCTCCCTCGCCCTGCTTCAAGGCTGGGCACTGGCTTCATTCCTCCATCTTTCTTTATATTTATATAAATGCTCGTATTAGTAAGGGTGGCACACTAGGCCTAGCTTTATTTGTGCCAGCCCTGCTGCCTTTCTGTATCATTTATGCTCTGCAAGAGGAGAGCTCACAGCCCTGCCGCTCTCCCATGGCACATTAAACATATATATGAGATTTCCTCCACACAGCAACGAGTAGCTTCCTTTGAGATTCAATAATGCCTTTTTGCCCCTTCCTCAAGCAAACCCCAGCAGGCCTGCAAGGCAAATCCCTCCTCACAGGAAGTGAGGAGCCGCGCTTGAAAAACGGACCTAAACCGGCGGAAGAAGGTTTTAAAATTCCCCTYAGAAAAGCTTTAATCGCGGGGACGGCCACAAAATTGAGGGGGTCGACAAGAACCTCAGCACCCCAGTCCCGCCGCAGCGGMTCCGGGCCGGGTTTTGCCCCCAGCTCCATTGTCCACTCGCAGCCCCGCCCCTCCCGCCAAGCGGACGCAGCACCGCGCGGGTTGCCCTGACGCTTCCGCGCTGCCGGGACTCGCGTTCCGCCCCTACGTTGGGACGGCGGGCGGTGCAGCAGACAAAATAGTGCGGAGCGGAGTGATTCGAGCTGCGGTGGGCGGGGCCAGAAAGGCTATATAAGGGGCGGGCGGCTCGCTGTGTGGCGCAGTTGGAGCCGTTCGGATCTCAAGAGTCGTTGTGTTGTCGGCGTGGTGTGCGCGCTTCGCGGTGAGAGCTTCGCGGGGAGCGAGGAGGGCGATTGCTGTGGCGGTGGACAGGATGTGTGCGGAGGGGCGGTGTGTGGGGAAGGGAGAGCGCGGCTGGTCGAGGTGGAGGGGATGCGGGGCGAGGTGGGCTGGGGGGAGGCTGAAGAATGAGATGGCGGCTCGTGGAGCGGGTGTGGGATGGGATGGCGGCCTCCGGAGACGGGGCAGGACGTTGAGCTCTCGCCTAATGGCAGCAGCGCGAGACGGCGACGGGAGCGGGGGAGCCACAAAGAGCGGCGGGGAAATGGCGGCCGCGCAGGCGCGACAACCCCCGCCAAGATGGCGGACGGGCGCGCCTTGGGCGGGAAGTGGAACGGGGAAGGTGGCCCCGCCCCTTGCGACGTGGGCGGTCTTAGTGCTATGACGTCACGTGACGACGCGTTCTGGGGAGCCCCGCCCCTCGTGCTGCCCCGGGGACGCTGGGGCCCATGGAGGGGTGAAGCTGGTCCTGCTGCAGCTCCTCTGCACCAGGAAAGGAAGAGCACTGAGGCACACTTGTGTTATCTCTTGCAGAGCAAAAATGCAGATTTTTGTGAAGACTTTGACAGGGAAGACCATCACCTTGGAGGTTGAGCCCAGTGACACCATTGAGAATGTGAAGGCCAAGATTCAGGACAAGGAGGGCATCCCCCCGGATCAGCAGAGGCTGATCTTTGCTGGCAAGCAGCTCGAAGATGGACGCACCCTGTCTGACTACAACATCCAGAAAGAGTCCACCCTCCACCTGGTGCTGCGCCTGAGGGGTGGCATGCAGATCTTCGTGAAGACCCTGACCGGCAAGACCATCACCCTGGAAGTTGAGCCCAGTGACACCATTGAG